ACAACAAACGTACATTTCAGGTAGCTTGCTAAAGAGTCTACTAGAGTCACAGTTTGATGTCTTTACTAGCTTTGCCCTGCCAGCCTCTGCACATGGAGTGCCAGCTGCCCCCCAACATGTCACAGCCAAGTTCCAAATTCCCTAGCATGTGCACAATTGCAGAACCAGATCCAACTCTATGAGACACAACTTGACGCATACAGGGAAACAGATGGACTAATGCTAGATGAGAAAAGACGTCTCTGGGAGACAGCAAATGACATTATTCAACAGGATTCAATTGCAGCATGAGTGGGTTTTAGAACAGCTATGCATAAACAGGCTCATGGTCTTTTCTGTGTCCTTTGACAGCTTTAGTATCCCCTGTTGCCTCATACCTGAACAATGCCAAGGGTCAGCACCAGACAAGGCCTCCATCGCCAATCAGCAAGAACGCCTCAAACCATTCACCCCTTAAACCAGTGCAAAACATGTGTCCTAGTACGCTCTGCCATTCATGATGGTCTGTAGTGAAAAGGAATGACTGACAGTTTGAAAAAAGGAACAGGTGGAAAGAGAAGAAAATCCATCCATCAATTCAACAGTCATGTGCTATTGTTGCAAGCCACTTAATAACCCCTCTTCACATCACCACAAACTATCTGTCCAGTCACCTTTTCTTTACAGCAACACATGAAAATAGGAAAACTGTGCATCTCACCGCCAAGTACAGTATATTAAATTAGGAAATGTCATACAAAGTAAATATGTTTGTAAAATTCTAAATACATAATGATACATATTCCAACGCAATGTATAATTTTAGAGCCCAATAAAAAAATAGACAAATATAATGTAAATCTGTTTGTTGCTAAGAATGACCATCAGTCACATGCAGTACTGAATGCAAGCAGAGTTATTGGCTAGAATACACGAGCTGCAAAGTGTACATATATTTTGGCCACAAGACTTCAGCGGGCGCTTTTGCTGTTTGAAAAGACATTTCTAATATGATTCATTTAATCATTTCCTGGCGCTCACCATTTGTCGGTTCCAATGATTCTGTGAAAATATGAATCCCGGGAAATGTCAGATTTTTCCCATAACTCTGTTTAGATCAGACTTTAAATGATATCTGTCAAAAACGAAATAGCTTTCCTTCTGTGTTGCATTTAACTGTACCCACAGATATGGCATTTTTATGGTAATGTGTGAACAGAAAGGACAGAGGGGCAATGGAGTTCCTCTGAATACCAAGTGTGTTGTCAAGCAGCAAAAAAGAACAAGATGACCTTGATGTGGAAAAGGTCAGTCCATAAGCTTGGATAAGGGGAGAAGTTGGTGTGGTGTTCCCTCCAAACCCGAGTGAGCGAGAGCAAAATTACATTGATGCCGATATGTTTCTTTAAACCTCCGTCAATCTTCATGTGTGTGTCCTGGGGAACATGCTTGTGTGCAGACATTGCCAGCAGCGGTGTCCAGATTTGCTGTGCAGGCACAATGAGGATGGAGGAGCCAAACGCACTCTTGACCTCACGCCAATTACTTGGGAGGCAGCTGGACCAGAGGACACCACCAGGGATGCAGGGTGGTCCACCAGCTCCACCGGCACTTCCAGACAGAAACGCAGGATGAGGATGCAGGGACCTAACCAAACATACCCACTCACATACCAATTCTCAGATCCCCGACCCACAAATAATTATTATCCGTGCACCGTATAAGTGTGCTTTTCTATTCTGTTCTAAAATTGTGACTGATCTAGTTTAGCAATTAGGATACCTTTTAGACAGTGTACTGCCGTGACTAAAAACAAAAAAACGTCAACAATCTTAGTAAAACCCCCCCCCCCCTCGCCCCGCCTCCAAGCTAAAAACAACCTCCCTTCCTTGAGCCATCGCCTTATTGTAGTGGAGGGGTTTTTGTGTCCCAATGATTCCAGGAGCTATGTAGTCAAGAGCTTTATTACCCTTGACAGGGTCCCACAAGGTAAACTGGTACAAGGTGAGGGACCAGACAAAGCATGGCTTTGGGTGATATAATTGGACCTCGTTTTCCATTGCCCAAACACGGGTCACCGGGGCCCCCCTCTGGCATGGAGGTGGGGTTCGATACCCAGCGCCTGGTGGCCGGGACTGCACCCATGGGGCCCAGCTGGGCACGGCCCGAAAAGACAACATGGATTCCATTCCTATGGGCCCACCACCTGTGGGAGGGGCCAAAGGGGCCGAGTGTACTGTGAGCTGGGCAGCAGCCAAAGTCTGGGAACTTGGCGGTCTGCTCCCTGGACAGATTCTCTTGGGACGCAGAATCACCTCTCTGGCAGGGAAGGCCATAGTTGTACTTGCCTCCACACACAGCCTCAGGCTTTAGTACCAGTCTTCTCGAGAGGGGTTGGACTCTCTTCCACTCTAGAGATGCCCACAGTGAGAGATGCTGAGCAGGTGTGGGTATAGTTATTGCCCCCTGTACTTTGTTTTGTTTCTTTGTTTATTCTGTCATCACAAAGTACATTACACAACATTCAACAATGTAACAATCAACAGTCATAAAGAATGGTGACTGAATGGCACTGGCAAAAGCCAAAGGTTATTTAAGCCTGGCCAATTTTGCTTTAAATTTATATTCTTGCAAGGTTCAGATAGATGGTCAAGTTACTAGTTTACAATGTATGCAAATACAAAAAAATAATAATAAAATAACAATAGACAATTCATTGTTATTCAAATAATTATTTACAACCTTCAAAACTAACTTCAAAAAGGTACTCAGAGCAACTCAATTGCTCCTGTGTCATTTCTGTCCACACATCGTCATATTAATGCTGTACCTGTTGGTATAGGAAAAGGGAAAATATGTCTTTTTTTGACATATATCATTGAAAGTCTGAACCAAAGAGAGAATGTGTCATTTTCCAGCATTCAATTTAGCACATAATCACTCACGGAAAGGATCAAATGAATCATATCAGAAAATATCTTTTCAAACAGCAAAAACCTCTGCTGAGGGCCTGATATCAAAATATGTGTACACTTTGCAGTTTGTGTTTGCTGGCCAAAAACTGATTGCATTCAAATGTTGTTGGGTCCGTCGGGAAGTCAAATCTCAGATGTAGGATGAAGAGTGTGATTTCTGTCTCGGCCGTGAAATGAAAAACTTTAAAGACATTTCAGAGTCTCTTTACTCCCATATACGTATATAAAGAGATAAAGAGAGAGAGAGAGAATGTAAACACCATACCAACTTAACATGTACATACATCTTGTGTTGTTTTTCCCTTCCATTTTGACAATTTATTGCAAGTCAGTGGTACTGAGGGGAGCCCAATGAACTAAAGTAAATACCACTCACTACTATGTTACATTAACAGCTCACCACTCAAGCACCAAAAACTGTAAATGCAGCACACAAATGCAACCGTTAATCAGACCTGTACCTACTCTTGCACTCTGTCAATAAGCATTAGCTTCTGACTGATTGCCATTTGTGTAATGACTCAATCCCCACTTCTAATTCATACACTAACACACTGATGGACGGGGTCGCAGCACAGTCCTTTCAGGCATTCATCTTCTGTCAATGATTAAAAAAAGTCATCCTAAATTCTATTTTCTGTTCGGCTGTCACATCATTGAAAATATCTCCACATTACAGGGGCATTTTGCATTTTTCAAATATTTATGTAGCTTGAGCATCATAATCAATACTTTGTGGACTCTGTGGAGTACATTTGATCGAAAACTTTATCTGAGCTTTTTTTTTTTTTTTTTTGTTAAAGGACAGTTATAATACATGGTCCAGTTCAGGTCTCGAGTGTGGAACATTGACTGAGCCACAAATGCAACAAAAACGACATGTAAATTGAGCAACTAACCTCACAACAAAATTCTACAAAAACATGCTTGTTCAGAAAGAAAAAAACAACAACAAAAAACAGTGCTTGAATAGTTATGAATCAGCCAGACTGTTATTGCCACTTCCATTACATCACAACAGCAATAAGAACAAGCTACTACATCAAATCAAGTCTGTCGAGTCCTTCTGGGAATTAAGAAAAACAACAACAACAACAATGACCTTTTAACTTCTATCTCTCCTTTATCCACCCAGAGTCATTCTTAATGTTGTCTGTTCAGTTTCTAACATTTCTATTTCGATTCCATTCTCTGTCTATCTAGGGTTGATGTTTTTTGGCAGCAATCCCAGATAACGGTGTGGTATGAAAGAAGCATGAGGCACAGTTTAGTTTATGACAGGCTGCATGCCCCCCGATCAGAAACAACAACAACCAAACGCCCTAGATAACTGGAAAATGATGGAAGAAAGGCAAATGCTTGTCTAACCTGGCGAGTCTATTCTCTTTTACATACCTACATGGATCTACAAAGATTTGAGTGGCAAATATATGAAGTGCAAAGGATGTTTGATGGTGCAGTTGATCAACTGGATGTCACCTTCACAGTTATGTTTCTAAATAGCATTGATGCTGAATTAAAAAAAATTCTCCATGTTCATCACAGGGTCATCCATACTGTATTCATTCAATACTTTGGTCAGTAAAGCACACAAATGCTTGAGGCTTATGTCTCCACCAAATAAGTCTTTTACACTGTACCATTACCAGTTTTGTGTGCAAGAAAGGTGTCTCTCGGTTGTCAAGGGCATAGTGAGACAACTATCGGCAATTATGGTTTCCTAAAACATGATGATTTTGGAGATACAAGGATTCCGCAATATGCAGGTCAATTAACAGTGATGTGAATTACTTCCAAACACTGCATATCATTTTTGAACACCCATCCATTCATTCTCTGTACCGCGCTCATCGTCACTCGGATCACAGGTATGCTGGATTCTATCCTAGCTGATTTTAGTAAAGAGGCGTGGTAAACCCAGAACTGGTCAACAGCATTTCAATTCATTCCACAGCATTTCAATTCAGCGTCAGCTTTTAATAGCTCACATGCAATTTCAACAAAAATAGCACTGCCTTTTTTTGAAACATTATTGAAGAAGCTTACTGTCATGAAGCCATCCAGTAGACCAGATTCAGGTTTCGGGGGAGCCTGAAGTCGTTCCATGGACCACTTCTCTATGATGGAAGCCACCTGGCTGTTCTCGGTGTTGAGAATCCGAAAGCCAGTCATATTTACACCACTGTACCGATATGGCTCCAAATCAAGGGCAAACAGATCCTGAGAGGACAAACAAAGTAATTAGATCCAATTTATAATATACTAAATAACTTATGAAAACAAATGATTCAGCTGTTGATGAAGTGGATGAAACGTCACCCGACATTATTTAGTTACTTACTGAACTTAATTGTTTTTCAATTGATTATGGCCTATAAGGATTTGTTTTCCACATTTTTACTGCAGTTTGAAGTTACGGGTGACACAGGATGAATTTAAAACATTCATGAGAAATGAAAGTCAGCTATGGGGAACAGTCAAAGCAAAAGGACCAGGATGAAGCTATTAGGTTTTAATAATAGTTGGATAATGAAGAAGCAAACACCGAACATCTCTTTTTTTTTTTTTTTTAATGATATCTCCTGGCAAGCATCTATTTTTTTTAAATGATAAAGATCACAGTGAAATGAGGAAAAAAAAATCAAACAGATAAAATATAGACACATAAATTAGGGGGAAAGAGAGACATCATGCTCTGTTTTGGTATACAAATATCAGGTCTCTATGTAAAGTAGGTATAGACAGTTTTACTTACCAGTGTGGTAAAAATATAATGATAGTATTCCGTCATCATCCCCATAGCAAGAGCCTGAGAAGTTGAAAGAAGGACAGAGTGAGATATCTACAAAGGTAAGATATTCAAGATTGAATATGCGCACACTTAAGCATTTCTTTGATGGTTGTATTGACTGGCTGTAAATCATCTATCGTGACAAGGAAGACATTTTGCTTCGCTGCTGGAAGCTTGAGCAAAGATGGAAATGAATAAGAACACAGTTGACATGCTGGAGGATAACAAAACATAACGTCAATTCAGTACAGTTGTCCGTTCAAAATGTTTCATGCACAGGGAAGAACAGCTGTATGAAGTTAATGGCCAAACATGTTTATTATCATATCATTTGAATCAAAGGCGAGTAGTGTCTTTGTTGCAAAGTTTCTTCATCGTTTTTCTCCTCACAAGCCGCTACCTGAGGTCTGATCTTATGTTGGATTTTGTTGGATTCAGAGCAAATTCTGTTGGCCCTGTTTGCTGGCCCCCTGGTGATTTTCTTGTGCCTTTCAGTGGCCAGTCTGGTCTCTGGAGAGTGGCCAGGTTGGAGGAAAATCTCAAACTGTGTATGCAGGAAATAAGCAACTGGTTCCTCGGGGTACTCACAACATACAAGAGTTCAAGGTTACAAAACCAAACCAAAAAAAAAAAAAAAAAAAACTAGCTGCGGTTGTGCAGCACAAGAAGACATACTCAATTACTGCCGACACACATTTTCTATGTGTCGTTTCACATTTACATGCAAATATTTATTGTAATTATGACTACAGTTCTGCATTTGCATCGGTGAGTTTGACTACGGTTCCTGTCTGACGTATCAATTTGGTTGCACTGTAAACTGAGGACCCCTCCAAAGATCGGAAAAGGAAGACGTGTCATTGAAAATAAAATTCTGTGTATCTGCATTTATTTTATTTTATTTTTTTTATAAGTTTGGGGTTCAGGGATCAAGTCAAGTACAACTTTATTATCAAATGTGCTCTATGTGCAACATACAGCACAGATGAAATTTCTTCCCTCTCAAGACAACATGCAACAAGAGGATCCGCTGCGGGTGATCCTTTTTACAGAGTATCCTGTATGCTTGTATCCAAACAAAAACCAATGAAAGCACTGCTGATGAATCTATATTTGTAGTTGCTAACCCTGCCAGTAAAGTGTTGTTCCAAACCACTGTTTCGGCCCATGATGTTTGGTGGCCGTTAAATTGTGTTTGGGTTAATCTCTCTGTGTGATGGAGAGCTCCACCTGCTCCTCTCAGATTGGCAGTCCTCATCCCCGATGTAAACAACCAATCGGTGTAGGGGAGAGTGGCCTGATTTGTCAATTGGTTTCAGAAGTGCCACCAGCTGCACTGGTTAAGTCCACAGTTTAAAAAGGACTCTGTTGGCTTCAGAGCTGGCTGGCTGTGTTGCGTGTCTTGTCATGGCTGTTAGTCAGTCAGTCCCCATACTGGCTGTGTGTTTTGTACCAATGGTTTTTTTCTGTAATGATGTGTTTTGGTGCCCTTTTTTCATATAGCTATTTCATTCATTCATTCATTCATTCATTCATTCATTCATTCATTCATTCATTTCTTTTCTTCAGTGAGTTTTTTTCAGGTGTAGTTCCAGGATCTTCAGCGTAATTTAATTCATTCTCTGAGTCATTTCATTCTTATGTTGTACCAAAGGTATTTGGGATTCGGGACTTGGTACTGTAGTGTTAACTCTTTTTTGAGGTATCATGTCATGTGTTCTTGTTGTATTGCGCCCCTGTTTCCCCAGTTTTTGTGCGGTTGTGTGTTTAACAGTCAAAACCTTAATGTACCGCTTTTCTTGATTCCCATCTCCTACACCCATGTTCGACCCTTCAGTTGCCGTTATGCGGAAGGATTGTAACACTGCTCCCAGCCTTTTTTTTTCTTTTTTTTAGTGACCATGCATTGTGCTCTTGAGTACTTTAGAACGATGAAACGACAGAGCATGTCTCAAAAAAGCAAAAACGTATAGACACTGTAAAATCTATAGCGGAGGCAAAGAAATTACATTCAGTAAATCATAAATTAACAGTCTCAGGTTCACTTTAGCCCTGGAAATAGATGCCCATACACCCAAAAGCACAACAGAACATTTCTTCTACTCGAAGACATGCAAGTATGTGTAGGATTTGGTCTTGAGTTTTATAAATACAGCAAATGTTCAAGCCGAAAGACTTGTAGAAAGCACACAATCAAAGACTTGAGAGTGGGAAGGAAACTTGAAATTAAATGAAACTCTACACATCCCACAAAAGAAAACATGAGCTAATACCGTGGGGCATGTGCCATGTTGTTGTGCTCCAGAGGAAGTGTTTGAGTAGGTGGTGATGCAGGAAGAATGTGGGCAGGTGCACCAGATGCTTGACTATACAGGGTAGACAAGCATTTAAGAGCATCGAAGAGGCAGGGTTACATTCTAGAAGAGTGAAGGTGATAAATAATAAAGTGGCTGTTAGATGCATCGTCAAATGATTCAGAAATGTGTCAAATTGGGAGACACAGGTGTTTGATCTGTAGCATATCCCTTACGATGAAGGGGTTATGCCTTTGTATTAACAGCGTAGAAATCAGCAAACACAATGCAGATGTATTTATTTTAACATAGGTTAACCACAGTTTATCCGAGAAAGACATTTCTAGCTCCGGAAGATCACATGTGGATAATAAAAATAATAATAATCCATCCATCCATCCATTTTCTGATCCGCTTTATCCTCACTAGGGTCGCGGGGCGTGCTGGAGCCTATCCCAGCTGTCTTCGGGCAGTAGGCGGGGGACACCCTGGATCGGTAATGGGCAAATAGTCATAATAAATGATTATAAGATAAGAAAACCTTTATTTGTCCTACAATGGGGAAATTTGCAAATTTATAATCATTATTATAATAATAGTTTTATCATAGAAAATAGAGACAGCATAAAGAGTGTGCATGGAAGTGAGCATCCATTACAAAAGACACACAATGCTTGCAGTTGGCAGGCTAAATGAGGAATTATTGCAAATAGCTGTGAAGTATTAAATGCCTGGCCAGAACAAAAAACAGGTTTGGTTCTTTCTCGCTCAAGAAATATGAACACCTTTCTCTGTTCTTGCGGAGTTCGTATCGGTCTTGAGTGTTAGTATTTCCTAGCCTGTGTCTTCAAATTGCTTGAGGTGTCTGGATCAGAGAGTAAACTCTCAATTTATCACCTTGTCACTTGCGCTCCTCACCCTGTGGCAGTGAAATTTGGATCGTGATCAAAACAATGAGACCATCGAAGAAGAAAGACCAATCCCTTTCTGTCTGGGCTCAACCTTGAATTCCTACACTGCAATCTATCATTAAAAGCACCTTGGAGATGAGTTTTCAAAGTAGAATCCCTGGTTCTCGATAATTCTCTTCTCATTCTCTGTGTGTGCGTGTGTGTGATGGCCAAATGCCAATCCATTCCAACAGTGTGATGCTGTAATCTGGTGTCAGGGTCCTGCCTGCTATGCTAAGATTCACAAAATCAATAAGTATCACAGATTAGTATTGTATGGAGCATGATTAAACATAGAGGAAGGGCGAATGGATGCCGCTATCTGGTGCAAAACTTTGAGGGAACGTTCAGTGTTGAGAATCACTTATTTCTGTAGTCCCTCGTTGCCTGTAAGCATCTTTCCAAAGAGAAAGTTTTGTCTATGAGTTCACAGAGGGGTAGACAAAACTGTAATATCTGTGACAGTAGATCGAAACAGGGCATTAATTGTCTGGCCCACATTGCAAGGCAAAACTTGTAGTTTATGTTACCATAGCACCTCAACTTTATTTGGGCTTCATCATTCAATTGTGTCAGGTTTGTAGTGACTCCCATTTATCATGAGCTTGATTTGATTGGTTAATTGTGAACACAGCCACATCTCTAGTTAGTAAAAGTTTAGAAATTATTTAAATTGGTCGTTTTTTTTGTTGTTGTTGTTGGTAATACAGCATCACAAAAATCTGACATTTGACCAGCGGTGTGTAGTTTTTTTATAACCCCTGTAAGGGGGTCAGCCATCATATCAAAAGTGGAATTGGTGGATTGTTTAAGAGTAAGCGAACTTTAATTAGAAAATAATCATCCTTTGCGTTCCACTGCTCCTCTCTAAATAAACAAAATGTCACAAGGTGGGTTAAAAAATGTCCAATGGCAACACTTTTCGATGAAATGTTGTTCTCGCGAGCCATCTTATTGCAAACAAAAATGCGAAGGAAGTGAAACGTTTTTGAACCTCGGAAAATCACTGAGTTCACGCTCTCAAAAATTAAGTCTGTCAGATTTTCTTTGTCCTCCATAAAAGCAAACAAAAATATCATTGTTGACATTCCATCACCATGGACTGAGAATTTATGAACTTCTTTTTATATTTTTGGGAATAAAATTAAATTAAACACTACCCAGGCAGTCATTCCCAAACATAAAAAGTGTCGGGGACCAACGAGAAATCTGAGAAGGATCTAAGCCCACCAAAATCTCAACACTTGAGGTTCAATCATTTCCAAATACGAATATAGTTTTCATAACCAGAACAAGTCTTTGCGAACAATGAACATGGCTATACAAAATGCAAATAACTATTCGCTCCAATTCACTACTTCTGAACTTTAATCGTGAGTTTTGTCCATAAACATGAGTATCCTACTATTTTCATTTTCCCACAAAAAAAAAAAAAAAAAACTAAATAGAAGCCTCACGGTTTGCGGTTTTTATTTTCACACATAGAGTATAAAAATGACCAACTTAGTCCACATAATGCTTAGCGTTGACATTCACTATTAATTTGTCATTTATTGTCTCCATTAACATCAAACAATTTTACTCAACCTACCTCGCTTTTTTTTTTTTTTTTTTTACATGATCAGCAGGGGGTCATCACCTCAACTAAGCCCCTGTCCACTGTATACTATTTTCTCCCGGTGTACTTTCAACCCTAGCCCAGCCCCCCTCCCGAGGCATTGTTAATGAAAAGAGTCCTTGACCTTCTCCAGCAACACTTTGGCCCTGATTAAAACCCCTGAGAGGGCGACAGTGTTGGGAGTGAATCATTTGTCAAGTCCTTAATATTTGATCAGTCCTGTAAGCAGGAAAAACATGATCATTTTTTAAATGAGAATCTCATCACAATGCATTTCTTGTGACAAAGTGATGGAGTCTAAAGCCGACGCGACAGATGTATCGACTGCACACACAGAAGGTATCATACATTAAACTTGATCAGCGAGATCAAATGCCAACCGCATCAATGCGGTTGGCATTGCAGCATGATTTCTTTTCTCACCCATTTGTTTTGACCTTATGAAGGTGACGTACTGTGTCCTGAAAGGTGTGTTGAAAGGAATTTATCATGAATGGCTATCATTCAAATAATAATGATCAATGAAGTGAAACTGAATAATATACCGCACCACTGATGATCCCTCCTAGCATACTTAGGGCGCAACATCACCTGGAAAAATAGAAACGTTTGATGATTAAATTTGGTCATTAATAAAAGTCGCCAACGCTAGAAAAAAAAATGTGACTATTACGGTAAACGCCAGCCCTTTGGGGAACTTTGTTCCCTGCCACGGACAAGAAAGATGACAAAGATCCTGATATACTACTTTGTGGTTTGAGCGTTGACGCTTACCAGTTTGAGAGACTTTGCCTGAGATGTGTTTCTCTTGTCATGTTGTTACATGAGCAAACATTTGCAAGGTTTAGTTGAATACAATGTATAGCCAATTATTCTGTCCTACTTTGGAGAGCAGCTGCTAAAATGGATTGCAATTGTTGTTTTTGAGATGAATTAGAGAGGAACCATGTACAATAAAAACAAAAAAAACAGGGTTTTTTTTTAAGTCGACTATTCATTGACTTCCAAAAAATATGTATCTACATCCAAATGATTTTATTGTGTGCAACTTCTTGACATAAAATTGAGTAATTTCAACACACAATGTTTTGCAGTGCAATTTGGATGATTTTGAATTGGGTCTCATGTAGACACAAGTAAGAAGTGCACACTTGGTGAAACTTGCAGTTGAGAGACTATCTTTTTCTAGCTGCTTTATTTGCTGAGCAAGAGATTGGTTTCGCTATCCCTCTACTGGAATCTGATCTGGAAGGACACATGCACTGCTTTTCTTCATTTGTCACTTGTCCTTCGCCCCAAAGGTAGCTTTATCTTCCAAGTACCTGTTATCAGACCCATTTTTTTTTCATAATTCAGTCGTTTTCTTGGTGTCCTGAAACAAGTGACTTCTTGACATCGAGTATCTAAGTTCCAGAGTCAATAACAAGTGTACATCCTGCTCAATTGCAATTGTGTGTTTTCCATATTAATCAACACACACACACACACACACACACACACACACACACACACACACACACACACACACACACACACACACACACACACACACACACACGCACAAACAGATGGACACCTGTTTTAGGATCCCAGCAGCCATTTCATGTCCACAGTCAAAGATGATGTGAAACTCCTTCCCTCTCTTCATCTCCTTTAAAAGCGGTTTGGCATCTTTGGTCTCTGCTGGAAGCTGCCGGATCTTTAATCGAATGTTGTACCGCGATGGGGCCTTGATAAGTTCTTGTAATCGAATTAGACCTTGTAAAACAGCAGAAAAAAAATACCATTGCATGTTTTTCTCATGACATGCTTTTTTTGAAAGCAAATACAACGGGTTCAGCATACAGGGACCTTTTCAAAAATACACCTGTCCAAAGAAACAAGGTAAGAAGTGCTTGTAAAGAAGCTGGTGCCAGCAATTGCATTGTACCCCCTGTATGATATTAGCATCCGTTCAACTCATTTTAAATGGTAACTGAGTAATTACTCTTTCAAACTCAGACAAATTCACCTCATTTCATTTTTGTGAAAAACAATGTACAGATTGCATTTGGACAGTTATTTTTTTGAACGCTGGTTGCGTTCTAGACCAGGGGTGAGCAACTCTGGTCCGTGAGGGCCGCTGTCCTGCCTGTTTTCGATGTCTGCCTCCTCCAACACCACGTTACATGTCAATCTTGCTTTACTTCGAGGGAAAACAAAGAATCTATACAAAAAAAGAAGGCTGTCAGTGTTATGGATACAGCATATGCATGGAACAAATTATCTTTCTAAGCCAGTGTTTTGGTTCATAGTCTCTTCTCCCTTATGGCCTCATCAAAACTCTCTCTTGCCACAGCTGCTGTAGCAGCAGTTTTCTCGGGAGTTGTAAGGATGTCATGCCTGGCTAGCAGAGCTGTAACACATGCTGCTGCCATCTCCGTTATGCCATTACAACATTGAACTATTAGACAAGTCCCATTGTGGTTATTGATTTGCTTGTTTGCTCCCCGCTTTGCGGAAAAACTGCTCATACAGAGATTGTTCGACCACTTTTCAATTCCATTCCTGAAACGATGCCGTTGTTCAGAACAACACGGGTGTGATTTTAGGGTGTGATTGCTGCACTGAATTTGCCCATTCAGAATCTCAATACGGTGTCTATGCTGAAAGAACAAATACAAATATTTTACTTATAAGCATTGATTTACAATTGGTCACAAAGTGATCTCGTGTTTGGAACGTCTGCCTCACATTTGTCAGGATCTCTTTTTGAATCTCAGTTCCGGAATTCTTGTTTGGGATTTGCATGTCTCTCTTCATAATGTTGTGGTTAATAAAGTTAATTCATTTTTAGAAGCAAAAATGGTTTCCTGCTTGGCTTTGTGTCATGGTCTGCTTTGTGAATACATCATAAGACATTAATTTTCATCCTCAAGTATCCGCTTTCAAATTGGCCATTTTACTACAGATTGCTCTTGTGTTGATTCTGAATGTGGAGATGCCATATTTAGCTGCTGTTCAGCTCAGGAATGGAATACAGGGGTGGCCACCCCTAATATAATTGTAATTGTAATTGATTGAGTTTAGCATGTTTAATTAATTAATGTTGAAGAATTTCGAAGTGACCCTTGCATCCTTCGATTTTCTGTATGCAGCCCTCGAAGGAAAAAGTTTGTACACCTCTGTACTATAAGAGTTTCCATTGAAATTGTAAAGTGAATTTGAAACTCCAATCCAAGCTTACAACACAAAAGGCAAAAAATTGGCCGAGCCATGGCTAGTGTCATGAAAAACTCACTTATAAGTGAAGGTATCACTGTATGCCACTTTGCAAATTAATTAACAGACTCTCTAAGTCCCTTCCTAAAGATGTTGACATCCAGGGCAAAGAACCAGCCAAACACATCATTTTGAGATATTGAGGTATTAAGAAATGACTGGCGTCATTGTTAAATGTTATGCAAAAATATTACAGCATAATGATAATTCTCAGACAATGTAAATTTTTGGTCCAGTTATATGGAAATGCACAACTAACCTTCATATGTGACTTCATAGATCTACAATATTCAAGACACTGCAATATTTACTGTTTATGTGGCGGATGCCTTGGCCTTAGGATATAAATAAAAACAGCAACAGCCTAATTTGTAGCTGACGCGAAGTTGCTCTTTTAATCAGAACAAGCCGCATTAAAGAACGTTGTCTTAGGACTCTGAGCAGGGCAATACTCCGTTGTGTTGGAGAGCGTTCAGGGCTGTCTGGCAGCTTGTCTCTCAGGCTGGCATCCAACTCTGGCCCTGCCATATGTTACTGTACATAGCCTGATTGGCTTATTTGTGACCCTACTTAAAAATAAAAATAAAAATAACTGAATAAAGTATTGACTATCTATCTATCTATCTATCTATCTATCTATCTATCTATCTATCTATCTATCTATCTATATCGGGTTCACCAGTGATGGATAAAGCTGCCGTTACTGCACAATTCTTGTCTGTGCATGAACTGGAATAATAATTTGCCAGGGAAGCTTCACTTTGTGCGGCTGCACTTGTTTCTTGCTGCTGATATCAGCGACAAAATAAGTATCTAAAGTTACATTTAATTTGAACAAAGGGAACAAGTACAAAAAAAAAATCTCTGAAGTGCAATCTCAGTTGAAGCTCATCTGTGAATTTGCCTCGTGTGACAACAAAGGTCCAACAAAAGTTGTGGTACACTGTGTAACTATAGCTGCGTTGTGAACGTGACATGCACGACTACACAATACTGCGGGCACAGAAATAGCCACGCTGGGGTCCGTGCATGGCAACCGGTAAACTGCAAGAATGTTGAGGTGAGCAATTGGAGACAGCATTCCACCTCTCGATCATGCGTCTGTGTCTGTATTGTACCCGTGCTGAACAGTGTACAGGCCTGATATCAACATTTTATTACCAAAACTCAATGAAGAGGTGAGGAATCATACATTTTCATACATTTTTTAGTGTCCGAAAATAAGACATACAAGCTCACCAGTGCTGTCATCATAAACAACTGTAACTGTTTTCCACTTGAAGAAGTAGACCAAGTCCAGGATTGCTCTGCTCAAGGATGAGAAGTCTGGATATAGGCTGACATAGAAGATGTCTCTGTTGTCTGAAACCTGGTGCTTCCACTTGGTCTGGATGTGAGGCACCCCCAGTGCATTACAGATGGACTGGACAGCATTAGCTGAGGAACTGTGAGAAGGCCCAAATATAGCTGCCACTCCGAGAGAAAGTTGGTCACAGGCTGAAGCATAGGAAAAAATATATTAATAAGCACACCAACCTATGCAAAACTAGATGCACATTGTAGAAATACAGTGCATATAGTGAAACACCAGGCTGTATTATAAAATTTATTATGTAAATTCTTTGGAAAATTCTGAACAGCAAAAATGTCTTAAGTAGACTTTAGACTGATCTGATCGCGTGGATTGAATTTCGATATTTTTCATTTTATGCGAAACTTAGGGATATGGGATATAACCAAACATGAGTCAAGCTATTCTCGAGAAACAGTTGCAAATAAAGTCAATTCTTTTTACGTGGATCGGGGTGAATCTGTACAGCTACACGGAAGACACTCGGCTTTGAGAATGTGCTTACTGTGTCACATATACGGCAAGTAAAAAGTGGACAAAAAAATGGAGGACAAAATAACCATTGTGATCTGTCTGCACCAGGACTTGGACAACAAAGCCAGCTTCCAAAAAAGGCGCATGTGTAAGCTAATTAGTGTAGCTGGTAACTATGGGTATGGACTTGACTATTGCTGTTGAACCAAGATAGCAACAGTTTTAGCAAATGAATAACTGGCGATGTCCATGCAATTTTTTTCATTGTCATAGAAGGAGATGTTGTAAATATGTAAACATTACATTATATTTAATAGTTTTTAAAAGATTTTTGGAGTTGAAATTATATTTCCAATGCATTTTCGCTGTGGCAGGTGTCAAGAGTAAATAAACAAGTTGTTTAAAGAGATATATTGTGCCATCTTCTGATGGAATCGGTGATCGCGTATCTTTTTTTTTTTTCTTTTGAAGCCTTCTGATTGCTGATTGCTGACCGACGCCCAAAACCCTGATGACGTAAAACCTACTCTTAATGTACTGTACAACTCCGTGTTGATAAGACTGAGGTGTAACTTGTGCCGTACCTTTTCTATTCACACTTGTTTGGTCATGCTTGGTCCGGTCAAAACAAACGCAAATGGGATTGCTCTGGTGGTGTGGTTCATTGGTGTGAACGCCATTATCAAATCCATGGTGTGCACCAAACAAGCAGACCAAGACCACTTGAAGAATCAATTCCTGTTTACCTGTAAGTGTTCTCTAACTTCTATCTCTGGTGGATGCCTTTTGGAAAACTGCATCAATGAGTTCCTTCATACTTTTGGTACTTTGCACTTATTTGAGTGGCACGAAAGACAAGAAGCTCGGCCCGGTGGGCCAGTGGTTAGCACGTCGACCTCACAGTGCAGAAGTACCGGGTTCAATTCCAGCTCCGGCCTCCCTGTGTGGAGATAGCATGTTTCCTGCGGGCCTGCGTGCGTTTTCTCCAGGTACTCTGGTTTCCTCCCACATTCCAAAAACATGCATGGCAGGCTGATTGAAAACTCTAAATTGTCCCTAGGTGTGGGTGTGAGCGTGGATGGTTGATTGTGTGCCCTGCAATTGGTTAAGGGTGTCCCTTGCCTACTGCCTGAAGACGTCTGGGATAGGCTCCAGTAACCCCCCGCCCCCCACCCCCCGCCTCCTGCGACACTTGTGAGGATTATGCGGATCAGAAAATGGATGGATGGAAAGACAAGAAGCTGCAAAACATTTCCCTCCTAAACCTTGCCGTCTTAAACATTATTTTAGATGATGAAGTCATCTCAGTCACTTAGCCACAATCTATTGACCTGTAATTGATGAGAGACTTAATCTTCCCACTTGATGCACATTCAAAGTAGACAGATTATAGCTCTTTATTGTCCAGCTCTGGGGGACAAAACACGTCTTTGAATTACTCCCGCTGAGTCATTACGTGGAAACAATCAATCGTAGCTGTTTATACGTGAAGTATTCAGCCATTTCCTCCTGATGTGTTTTCGATTCTCACAAGCTATGGAACTGAGGCTCAAAATTCTTTGACTAGGCATGTGAAATTGTCATTTGCACACATATATACATACATACTGTACATACATACAGACATGCAAAAAAACATACAAAAATACATACGTATAGGCTCTATAATAAAAATCATATAATACCTTTTCTGGAGGCCTCGAAGCTGTCATAGATGTTTATCCTTTGGATGTCATATGTCAGAGTGGTGTTTGGCAGTAGAGTTCGGTTTCTGTTGATTGTGTTTAAAGCAAATTTAAAGGCTAGTTCTTCAGCACCCGACGGTCCACTTTCGACGGACTCAAATATCCCTCCTGTCAAATGCAAAAGAATTTTATTCATCAGACAACATTGACAACATGCAACATTCATGCAACACAATGTGAATGGAGAGTGATACATCATAAAATGACTCTAAACACCGCCAATTTAATACTTTTGAAATAAAGGGGATGTCACATTTCAATCCTTGGAAACCTTTTATTCTGATTGACTGATACCTTCGTCGAAATAATGCTTGTTTACATTTCCAATGTGTGTCGAACAGTTCAGCAGCTCTACACCCTCCTTCTCCTGAGTTGTGTTGCGGAGCAGCAGCCTAAGGAGCCCAGGCTTTCCTGTTTCCAGGCAATTTATTTTGCTCCTCCATGGGGTTACTGAAGCGTTCTATAAAAACAATAAATACTAAATACCAAATTCAATAAAACACTACTACACTTGCCTTCCGCTCCAAAATGATACATAACTGCGCACTTTGTCCATTAATCAATTCTTTGCAAAATCACTTGAATTGAAAATTTTAAGTTGACTGTATTAATTTAAAAAAGGATAAGTCTCTATTTTGTATTTATGTAAATGTTTTTTGTTATGTTAAAACAAACACAGACACATATGGATTCAATCAGACACCTAGACAACATGGGCGCATGTGAAAGACTGAGATTGCCTGAGAGCAACCGGCTTCTCTTTGAAATGTAGTCATCGTAGTCTTTCACAAAGCCAATGAAAAAACTGAGAAATAATGGCTTTAGTGTAAGGCACATGGAATGGAAAAGTGTGTTTAACACATGGACCCCCGCAGCAATAGCCCTCCAGTGAATACTCCTGCCAGTCAGCAAACGAATTGACAGAGATAAGGCCTGAGGAGTTGGGAGAGGAGGGGGGGGGGGTGCTTGGGTTTTTAGATCAATGTACTCTGACTGACCTGTGATTCAATCAATGGAGACCATAGGGAGCTGTAGAGAGCATCAGTGAGGGATTGAAGTGTTTTGTTTGGGTTAACCCTTGGCCTGGCCCTGCTGACTTGATGTCAGTCACCAGGAGCTTCGGCTTTTTTTTTCCCCCCTTCAACAACCACCTTTGATCCTCCACAGCAGGACCAACCTCAAGCCTTGATTCCATCCAAACACTTTATTGAGAAAAACTGCAGGATCGGTGATGTGGTGCAAGAATCCTATCATTGTTTCATTGTGGCGATTTCAAATGTTGGCTTCTCTTCTTCCTGAAGTTTGCTCTCTGCAGCCTAAAGCCAACATTTAAATAAAGATAACACTGACGAGCAACACTGTATCTCAATTTTAATTTGTATTCATCTCATGGGGTTGGGGTGGGGGGGTCTATTTTGCATACCATAATGAGCCTGGAGGAATGAATAAGTATCAGCTAAAGTGCTTGCACTGTAATAGGAAAGCTGCCTTTGAATTCATCTGCTCTCATTTGAGACACATTGTTTGACTTCTCCCCATCAAAAGAAGCTGTCCACTGCGGTGAGATTCAGGGATAATGGTCTATGGATTTATCACAGTTGGTTTCCTGGTTTAAACCAAACTCAAGAACAAATATTACACATGGGATATTGTGCTATAATTTACCTGAGCTGGCGGTAACTGTGGTAATAATCCGCAACAAGCTTCATAAAATGCAACTCAAAAGACCAGTTCTCTTCTGTTTGGTTGTCATATACGAGTTTTTGACAATGGCATTGATTTTGATGCAAAAGTAAAAAGATTTTCTCTGAAAACCAGTGTCTTTAATTGAGCTGAGCTCTCGAGAGAGGAAAATACTGCAAAGACAACTTATGTGTCTCTAGGGACAGACAGTAACCGCATTCTATTTTATGATGACATTTTGCAGCGACAGCAACTGTATCACACTGAACAATAACTACAAGTCCCATTCATATCACTCACCTTGAAACTGCTAATGAAAAGGGTATTTTCTAGTTATGACTAATTGGGCAGAGAGCAAACAACCATATAAGTGTCTGCAGGTATGGCATTTCTTGAGGATGTGATTCATGAGTCATTCATTTCCTTACCTAACATTGCGTTGGGTCCAATAAACATCAAACAAATGAGACCAACAGACGATCGTATTATCAATGTAATTCTCTGTTTCCGACAATCTTATTGGCAGTATGATTGGAATCACACAAGTTGTTAAATGCCTCAGTTGTTGTTGTTCCTTCTTTATTGCTCTCCTTTTTCTTATAAGTCGTCAGTTTTGGGAAGTTATTCTCGCTTGGTATTTGTCATCATTTGATTCTATTGTCCTTTCGAGACAAGACAATTTCCGTTTGTATTTTCCCTGCCTTTCGCAGGCGATTTTTGCTTCTCTCGTTTTATCCTGTTGTGCTGACCAGTGTCATTATTTGTGCTTTGTCGGTCTTGCGTTTGTTCATAACCCTTTTTTGAACCATAATCTTATCCTTGTCTACGTTTGTGGGACTCCACCCCTATCTGGATAATTACGGAACGTTACGATTAAATTAACGAACACTGTCCGACAAATATTGCTTCAGTTGGCAAATATTTCTGTTCACAAACAAAGTCTCTGAAGAGTCTGGCTTAAAGCTTCCATTGTATTAGTGAGCGTGTTTTCACTGTAGATTGATGTTTTGTTTCCCCTCCAGGTGTCTATGATCAGATTTCGAGGGGAGTATGTTGTAGCTCTTTAAATCCGTTCAAATCTTGCACAAGGCGTAATTGTTTGGAAGAGCGGTGGCGTTATTTTTTAATGGTCTGTTTGTGCGGAACAGTTTGTACCTTTTCATGCAAGATCAACAGCAGAAGGCTGTATACTTCAGGGAGTTGTATGTAGCAGTTGATGGAGATTTAGAGGGAAAAGACTGAAGATGCTTCTACAAAGTGAGCCACTTGAGAATTGCAGATCCGCTGTTGTATTTATTCATCTGCCTTTTTAGACTGCACGTTCGCTCGCTATTCATCCATCTCTGCTTTTATTTAATCTGACGTACCCTGAGTACAGATTATTGCTCTAAATATAAGTACGTAATGAGTAATTTCCCTTTATTTCTTCTTCTCAGTGCTTCTCAATCTTGGCACAGAAGTACAAAATGTGACCCTCTTTCCTCAGTCAGCGCCTTCGTGAACTACTCACATCAGGAAATGTCAGTGAGCATTTGGGGGGGGGGGGGGGGGGGGGGGGGGGGGCTGATTCTTGGGTGGCAGAAAACAAACTCACACTTACTGTCCAGATGTATAATAGCCTAGTCAGAGATGGAAATACCCACTTTGCGGCAACATGTGTGATCCAAGATTTAAGTACAGTAATGCAAAGAGTTTCTCAGCCAATTAGGCCAGGTTGAAGACTTTTAAGTCCCATCCATCCATCTTCTGATCCTCTTTATCCTCACAAGGGTCGCTGGGGGCGCTGGAGCCTATCCCAGCTGTCTTCGGGCAGTAGGCGCGGGACCGTTTGCCAGCCAATCGCAGGGCACACAGAGACGAACAACGATCCGCACTCACACTTTTAAGTCTTAGAAAATTAATTACACTGAACATGTTTTGGCTCAGTTTTTGCTTTCCACGGTGCATAAGAAGTAAAAGGAGTTTAGATCTGTGACTTTGAAATAATACCGGCAAATAATTGTCGAAATCCTTGCAAATTAACATTTTTTTATCTTTATTGTATTATTATTGTTTTAATTATATTTGATCTAACTGTAGTGATTGTTTATATATAACAAATGAAAAGTTTATCTCAGTTTTGACTACACAAACTGTTCTCAACAGTACACAGGAGGAAATGCCAGCACAAATGCCAAAACGGCAAGACTCTTTGACCCTGCATTGACTTGAAAGGTCTCATTGAGATGACTGTTGTCCCTCTCATAAAGATCATCTTTTCAACTCTTCAGTCAGCCCACTGTTTTCGCCATGTTTGATTTGAGGAATGCTTATTGTCTGATCCGCATTCATGAAGGGGATGATTGGAAAAGGTTCAGAATCCCCATCAGTCATTTTGCGTATTTGGTGATGTTGTTCGGTCTGACTGATGCCCCTGCTGTTTTCAAAGCTCTCTTAAGACACACTTCCGAAAGGACTTAAACATTTTGTTCTTGTTTATTTAAATGACGTCCTAATCTTTTCCCAGAGCCGTCAGCTTGATTGTCAGATTTTCAGGGTCGTTCTGCGAACACCGTTACAACTCAGACTTGTCTTTAACTAACAGTTAATGCTCAGATATATAAGACGGTTCGTTAAGTAGTTTTAAGTTTTCTTTGGAAAAAAAAAGAATGCGTTGTTTTAGACCATAGTCACGTTCCTGGCTGGAAGAAAGAGACAAAACTAGGATGCAAGTGCTACACACAGAGCTAAAGGTTAATCACGTTATTAACGTACGTTTACAGATGGCATTCGCCTTTACTGTGGCCAGCTACTATGCCCAAGTGTCCAGTCCGTAGCACATTATGTTTTCTTCACAGTCGAAAGATTATGGGTTCTTTTCTCATCTTATGGGGCCTGCTCATGCTTGTGTGAGTTTTCGGTGAGGATTACTCTCGAGTAAAGGCTTTAATCTGAGAGCATCTTGCGGTTCCAATTGTGGGCTCAGACAGTTGTTCCCACTACTATCAATTCACAGCAAGATTTGGCGCTGCTATCAACCTGCAAAAAACAAAATAGAACTGATCCCATACTGTAAAGGTCTGAAGCCTGCCAGTTCTTCCCAAATGACTGCGTTCCCACTGAGAGTTAGGTGTTAAGACAGCGTTACAGAGCATTTTGCCTCTTGCAAGAGCTGCAGTTATTGTTGCTAAATCCCTGGATGCTGATGTGAGGCTTGAGTTGCTTATTGAGGGTAATTTCCCTCCAAGTCGAAGAGAAAATACAGTTTGTTTCAAAGTCAAGTATTATCATTTGCTAAACCCTGAAAACAATGCTCCCCTCTGAGCATAACGCGCACATTGTTTGCACCCTTTATCTAAAATGAGTAGCTTTGCTTTGGAACTAAGCAGAGGCGTATTGATTTTCTGTTCTGAGGCAAGTGGGTGATATTATCTTAAGTAATGGTT